GAGGAGATGAGCATGTACCCTGAGCCACTGGCAGATGTGCGAGATGAGCTTAAGTTCCTCCGACGCATGAAGGGAGGGCGTCTCAACAACTTGAAGTTTGCCATCCAGCACCCCAAGGAGACTCTGCTTCAACGTTCGCGCAGCCCGTCTCACTCTCGTTCAAACTCGTTGCTGCCCCCTCCACAGACGCCGACCATGGACGACAAGCTGGGATCAGGGGCAGCCACCCCCGAATCTCGTAGACGGTCTAGGTCAATGCGATCGCGATCGAACTCGGCGCTTGGTGCGCCTACAGTCATGGCTGGTCTTGTCGCAGCTGGCGTAGCAGCGGCATGGTCACCTGTTGGACGGGCACCAAACGAGGATGCAGATGAGGCGAGCGAGCAAAGACATGGATCCAAGGCCGACGATACCAAGTAGGTAATCATTGAGCCAATTGTTTGCAAGGCGGCTTTTTAGTAATCATTGGGTCTGGCCGTCTTTTTGTTTTTTTCCTTGAGTTGATTTCCACCGGTTCGGGCAAGTAAAAGTCTGGCATCATAGAATGGGGATACAAGGCGTTTTTGCATACTGTACAATACCACTTTCTGCTGGCTCTACCGCTAGAACACGACACTGCAAAGGCATGGCTTTCTCTATTTTCCCTTTATTAGTTGGCAAGAGTTGATAATCACACGTCTAAGCCTATTGAAGAACTCGAAACCAGTGATTATCTATGATGCCTATGAAATGAATTAAGCAGGTGACCTATTCTCCTGTACGACAGCAAGTGGGTGACAGGAGAATGCGACACCTAACTGAAGCGTGGTTATGATAGATTACCTTCTAAGATAATTTAAGAGATTCAGTTGTATAAATAAAATAAAAATAAAAATATATACTGTATTATCTCCGAAGTACGCACTGTTAGCTCCTAGTAATCTGACAATACTGGTTGTAGGCTCGATAACAAGCAGCTTAATGTTTGAGTGTCTCAAGGTTGGTGAGCTTCTTAGAAGTCTGGCCCCCATCTCGGACTTATTCGCGGCCATGACTCGGGCCCTGCGGACGATTGTGAGGTGGCGTGTTTGAAAGAATTTCACAAGTACCGGGCGAGGGACTTATTAGTAATAACCAAACGCTGTACTATCACTGGGGGCTTTGGCACTCGGGCAGGGTTTTCGTTAGTAAGAACTAGAAGATTGCCTGTTTGAGGAACAAGAAATGGGCGTGTCCAGGGCTGAGTCTGAGTGAGATATACGCATGAGTGAAAGAGTGCATCACTCGCCACTCCGTTACCGAGCCGTTTGCCCATAGATAAGTACATTGACTGTCTGATGCCTGATGCCACCCAGCAGCCAGCAGCTTATCAATTAACTTCCTCGGCATTCCTCGCAACTGGACACATTTCTCACACCAATCAACCGCCATTGGCCCGTCGCCCCCGTTTCCCGTCATAGGTGGTCCAGCCGGTCTGAATATCGATTTATGAGAAAAAAAAACTGCCTAGTCGGAGTTCAGCAGCGGCACATGCCTACAGCCTATTAGCCAACCTTTCCTGCCTGCATATCTAGTAGAAAGACAAAACCTCCCTTCCACGGTACGCCAGCCTATCCATTGTTACTCTCACTTAGCCCCCCTTTGATTTTCTGCCCTTGGCCTTTTCTGTTCGACGCTTCGCTCGTGTTCATTCCATTTTCTCTTCGCGCCCTCTCATCTCTCATCTCTCATCTCTCATCTCTGTCGCTCTCGCATAGTCTGGCCCCTTTCCAGGCCATCTCGTCCGGCCGTTAGTCTGCGACAGCGTTCAAACACAACACCTGTCTCACTGATACCATCCACCAGCACACCCGTCGGCCTGCACTGTGACCAACACGTGGTTCATATCTTTTTGTTCTATAGGTCCCCAACACGTACGTACTCTTGATTTTTTCACCCGTCGCTGTCCAATCTTACAGCACCCATTCGCACCTGCAACCCGTCAAGCATTGCCACGGGCCCCTTCAACCGTAGTGCATATAAGTCTCAAGTGCATGACACCTTGCTTTTTTCCTTTTTCCTTCTTTCCCTGTCGCGCTTTTGCATCCGCTCGCGCCCACCCAGAGAGGGCAGCAACAACAACACCAGGCCAGTCCAGTCTAGCTAACACCTCTCGAGTTCTTGTGTGTGCGAATTTGGGTTTACAACACACCTGGCCATCAAAACTGCAACACGGCCGTCAGTCCAGTAAACTACCCAAAGCACAGGCACCATCAAACAACAGAAATGAAGGCCAAGACTGGAGCTGCCAAGGGCGTGCGGCTGCCTGCCCACCCCAAGGTCGATATCATGGCCCATGAGAAATTGCCCGACAACCCCTCCGTCGAGGAGCTGAAGACGGCGGCCGTCTCCATCTCGCTCGCCGACTTGGAGGAGCGGGTGGCCGACGTGCGCGACTCGTGGGAGGAGGATTCGCTGTTTGAGGAGGTCATCGAGGAGCTGACGGACGACGGCGTTACTGCTACGGGAGGTGAGTGTTAACCATTTTTTTCATTCATTCGAGATCATTTATTATTTATTTTTAATCTTTTCCTTCCATCTCGGCTGGGATTGTTGCCGCTCCGAAATCTCTCAAGTGGGCGGGTTTTGGTGGCTGTTGAGGGTTGCCTCGCGATCGCGTGTTACGATCGCGTGTTTGCGTGCGATTGGCAAGTCCGAGCACGCTGCGTCCTGCATCGCTCCATCTCTCATCACTATTCGCTTGCATTTCAGATGCTTATTCCTCCATCACACGCATCTCTCAAGTCGACACGCTTTCTGTTGCAAGTTTGCGTTGATTGAGTGAGGACCCATCGGTTGAGACACAAATGGCACGCGTTATCACCAAGGGATCAAGTCAATCATGTTCCATCGGAAAAAAACATTAATCTAACCTGGATCTAATCACAGATGCTGGAACCTGCACGCCAGAAGAGGCCAGCAGGCTCCGGAGGGAGTTGCGTGAATATGGCCCGGCCGTGTTCTGCCAGCGCACAGTCGATGCTGGGCGCTACACAGCCAAGAAATTGCTCACGGCCTTCAGCATCAAGCCCCCCGCCTTTCTCGAGGGCCAGCCGGATGAGGGGTACTACAGTCTGCTGTCGCTCGCCATTACGAGAGAGTTGTCCAAGCGGGCCAAGCTGAACCGCTTCAACACCGTTAACGACGCTGTCGACCTCATCGAGAAGAGCAACAACATCATCCTGCTCACAGGCGCAGGCATCTCTACCTCGCTGGGTATCCCTGATTTCCGCTCCAAGGGTGGATTGTACTCCAAGCTCGAGCATCTGGGTCTGAACGACCCCCAGGAAGTCTTTGACATTGATGTCTTCAAGAGCGATCCTACGATTTTCTACCAGGTGGCCAAGGACATCATCCCGTCCACGGAGCGCTACACGCCCACCCACAAATTCATCGCCATGCTCCACGAGCGTGGCAAACTCCTCACCAATTACTCGCAGAACATCGACAACCTGGAGATCAAGGCCGGCGTGCCCAAGGACAAGCTGATCCAATGCCACGGCTCATTCGGCACTGCCACCTGCATAAAGTGTGGGTACAAGGTCAATGGCGAGAGCATTTTCCCGGATATCAAGGCAGGCGTCATCCCCCGCTGCACCCGGTGCGTCCAGTCGCTCAGGGCCCCCGGCAAGTCTGTTAAGCGCAAGCGCTCAGCCGGCCCGGAGAAGAAGAAGAACCGCTGGAGCGACCGCGAGGACAGCTCCGACGAGTCCGAGTACGACATCCCCGATGCGGGTGTCATGAAGCCTGACATCACCTTCTTTGGCGAGAGTCTCCCAGACGAGTTCTCCAGGCGGCTTACGGAGCATGACCGCGACAAGGTCGACCTGGTGATCGTCATTGGCACCTCCCTCAAGGTCACCCCCGTCTCCGAGATCGTGTCCTGGCTCCCGTCGCACATCCCGCAGATCTACATCTCCCGCCAGGCGGTCAACCACATCAACTTTGACATTGATCTCCTGGGCGACTGCGATATCGTCGTCACGGAGCTGTGCAAGCAGCTCCACTGGCCCTTCAAGCACGAGATGGTACCGGCCGACCAGAATATCTACGTGTCCGACGTGGAGGGCTATCCGAGCCGCCACGTCTTCTCCCTTACGCCCGTACAAGAAGAAGAGGAGGACGAGGAAGAGGAAGAAGATGCTGCTACACCTTGAAGTTGGCCATGGCTGTCGTGTTACTCGCACGTTTTGAATATTGTGGCCCGATTCTTAATACTTGACTTTTTTGTTTGTTTACGAGCTCTCTCTTCCGAGTGGGGGAACGTGGTTGTTCCACGCTGCTTGAAAGTTCAGCTGGCCGAGTCTTCTGTCCTTTACCCCCTACTTTCCTCACTGTTCTTGGCAAGGCGTCCTGGTTTCCTGAAAAAAGCAATAAAGGGTGTTTCTGGAGTCTCAAACCTGTATATTTTTCGTTGACTTGAGGAGAAACCCCATTTTCTTACCTGTTGGCTTTTGCGGAAAGACTACAGATAGTACTTAGATTGCTACGTTTCCTTGTTCTTCCCATTATTATAAATCATCGTCTCTCTAGGAGGCGGCTTCGATTGCTTTCGAAACCTAGATTTATAGTTTCTGTAACATGGGGGTATTACTGTTAGGAGAATAAACTTATCTCTCGGGAAAACTGGGTTTTACGTTTCGTATTCTTATGTCTCATCACGTAGTAAGGGTAAGTGACCTAAGCAAGGCTGATTTGGGATCGACCCAGTTTGATTATTATTTTTGAAGTGTTCCCTGCGTTTCAAAACCACCGTTTCTCATGTCCATCTATGCCCTGATCGAGTTATTCACATAACAGAGGTAATAAGAAAAAAATGTCATGTAGAGGAGAAAAAAAAAATAGGCCAGAAATAAAGAAGAGAAGGATGGCGGGAAGGCTGCCTAACCTCCATTTGGTAGAAAAAAAACACCCCAAACTTTCGTCCTATGCCGAGGATATAGAGATCAAAGAAGAGCAATGTCCTGGAAGCCCCTTCCATCTCAAATTAGACTTTCGTATTTATCTAACCCGGAGGCTTGCTTTTGCTGCTGAGGCTGTGCCGGGGGTGGCTGTATGCTGCCGGTGGAACCCATCATGCTGTTCATGCTCATTGTCGATGACCCCTGCCAGGCTATCGGTTGCTGTTGCTGCTGCTTGGGCTGGGAGTGGGATGGCGGCGGGGCGATGCTGAAGCCGGAGGATGGTGGGGGAGGGAGGGAGAAGCCGGACGAGGGGGTTCGGGAATTGTTGAGGGACATGCCGGATCCAAAGGAGGATTGCTGAGGCTGCATGGATTGCATAGGCTGCATGGTCGATGTGGTAGAAGTAGACGCCCAGGGGTTTGCTGTTGCCCCCGATGACGCGGTTGCCCAGTTGATCGCGTTGCTCTTAGTGGTGTTGGTGGAGGTGACGGAGGAGGAGGACGGTTGCCGTACGGGTTGTCTTTGTTGATTCAGAGGGGAAGGCTGCAAGGGCTGGCTGAACTGCGTGGAAGAGGGTTTCATGGCTTCGAAGCGTCCCAGATCAGGGGTCACTGTACGGAAACTGGATGCTTGCTGGGGTTTGGCGACATTGCTTGGAGGAGCAGAGCCAGCCCCGGGGGGAGGGGTGGACCATGAGAAAGCTGGTGGCGTGTTGGTGGATGACCGTGATATAGACGGCGGGGCAGACGTCGCGGGAGCAGGCGAGTCGTCCCAGTTGGCGAAACCGCTGTTGCCAGCACTTGCGCTTGAGGGAGAGGCCTGTGGTTTCGAGCGACCCTTGACTAGTGACTCAAAGTCGTCCTCGGTGGTGCCATTGGACTGGTCGAAGCCAGTTCCTGTTACCCCGCCAAATGCGAGGAAATCATCGTTGTTAGGGTTGGGCGTTTTGACGAGACCGCTGAGCTCTTGGAGCTTCTTGGTCTGCTCATCCTCAACCCTCCTTGATAGTGACTTGATGAGTTCCATGAAAGTTTGGAATTGCTTTAGCTCAAGGAGGGGGCCAAGACTCATGCTCCAAAGAATAGGGAGAATTTCCATGGCCACGAACTCAGCGTCGGCAACTCCACCAACAATGCGGAGAACGTTTAGAGCAGCGATCATCACCGCTGGCTCCTTCGTCTTGATTCCTTTCACGAGCGGTATGATCTTCTCCTGCATCGTGTACTTGTCAAGGGCAGAGGAGGAGGATGTCTTCTTGCTTTGTGTTGAGAGCCCGTTCAGCCCATCATCCGCAGCTTGGTCCGCTGTTCCTCCACAAAGAATGACAAATGCCCGTAGACCTCGGACCTTGATTGCAAGACTGTTGGTCCGAGTAAAAACGGCAGCAATGACGGGGAACAGCTCATTCTTAATGGTGGTGAAGTCGAGCACGGGTAATACGACGGGCAAGCTCTTCAAGGACGCATCAATGATGCTATGCGTAGGACACTCAATAGCAGCTAACATGACAGGGAATATATCTATAGCAGGGGTATTAGCGCCATGGGCAAGATACAAGGGTCTAGCAATAGGGGAAAAGTGAACTTACCGTCTTTGAACTCTTTGCCATTGCAGTTGTCAGCACATACGGCAAGGTTGTCTAGGAAGACCATCAGGCCGGCGTCTCGAGCAGCATCCTTTTCTTGACCTTGTTTGGGGGCATTGGTGACAAAGATTTCTTTCAAGGCTGGTCTGACCTTCTCGCCAAATACACGCCGCGATGAAGGAAGAAGATCAATAATCTTGAAGACGTTTTGGAGAATCAGAGATAGAAGCTCCCTATCTTTAAGCTCCTCCAATAGTGCGGGAAGGATCTTTTTCTCTGTCACAGACTTGGGGAATGATGGCAAGACCTTGACAAGACCCCGCATGAACTGACCCTTCTCGCTGGGAGTTTTGGCCGGGAAGGCATCCAAGAAGCGGATGGTTGAGATGAGAACGTTGTCGAAATATTCGCTTTCCTGGAACTCCTTGGCGGTCAGACGCTGAGCCGGCCGTCTGGTGATGAGTCGAGGCAGAACGTGGAGCGTGAGGTCTTTGGGAATCGGGCGAGAAGAGAGGAATTTGTTTGAGGTGGAGGGGATGGTCGACGAGGATGTGAACATTCTCTTGTAGGATGATACGCTGCCGTGAGACTCCAGTGGTGACTTGTGGGGAGAATTGTATAGGGTGACGCATAGAATTCCCAACGAGAACATGTCAGCCGCCGCTGTCATGTTGTTGTCCATGACAAAATCGGGTGATGTGTAGTCCAGGTTCAGTTGGATGTATCTTGGTAATCGGGGATCCATGTTCAGAACCTCGTATAAGTTGATGCCATGGATCGATGTTGGCTTCGACGAACCTTCGATAGGGCTGCAGAATGCGAGGCCGCTGAGTTTCCAATCGGACTATCGAGCTACCGTTAGAATATGGACCCTGAGACAGGCTGCATTGCGAGGACATACCTTGGCATTGATTAGTACCGCATCGGGGGTGAGGTTTCCGTGGACAAGCCCCGCATGATCGTGCAAGAACTCAAGAGCTTTGCTTAGTTGTAGCAGTCCCTTTTGAATCTCCAACTCATCAATCTCCAATTCCCTTCGACGGCGCACGCCGTCTGCATCCTCGGTGACGTATCGACTCCCTCGTCCACCTGGACCTCCTGACCTCTCTTGATCGTCCTTTTCTTGCAGGGCGCTCGCTAAAGAAGCAGTCACGGGCTCGGTAACAAACTGCAGCCCTCCACCTCTCGTCTCTTCCACTGGCTCCACCAATTCGAGGATGCTGGGGTGCCGTAACTTGGCCAGACTCGATGCCTCCTTTTTCAACCGCTCCACCACCTCCTCCATGGTCTTCTTGAAGGAGGAACCGCCGCCGGAGCGCCCCAATGAGCTGCCATGGGAATCGACTGATTTTTTGTCAAAGACGAACACGCTATAGACCTTGCCGGTCGACTTCTTCTTCGCATCGTAGATGTTCCATGGCCCAGCTCGGGAGGTGGGCGCCGATGAGACGGAATAGTTGCTGGAGATGTTGGTGGGAGCAATAGATCGGAGCGCCGAGGAGAACATTGTGCGATTACGGTGGGCTTCGGCCGAGGGCCTCGAGGATCATGATCGAATGAACAAGTTGCTGCGGATTTTAAGGATCGAATGGGCGCGGCCCTGGAGTGATGTATAGCAACGTAACGCTACGCGATTGCGCAGTTGCTTTGGAACGGTCAGGACTTCGTTATATCGGCGACAAAAGAAACGACAACAAGGTAGCAAAAGGCCCGGGAAAGACTGCGTCGAATGCGACAAGAAATAAAATGACAGCGTTCGCCTATTGGGATACGCGCTTGCACATAGCCATATGGCTGATTAGTCGATGCTGTCCTATCTTCAGGGTCCTGGACGCGTGTGGCTGAAGATGTCTGGATTTGGAGTACGTTGCTCGAAACCTGTGGCTGAAACGGTTCTCAGCCAAGGTATTGGCGCTGACAGCTGTGGCGCAGGCCTGGACCCTAAATCGCGGTTCGCAACGGCCGAATGGCGGATACCTTCGGTGCTTGAATGCGACGGCGCCCTTGCGCTTGACATAAGCATTCTCCGATATCGCCTGGTGTAACTAGATAGTTGGTTTTCGCGGGTCATCTCTGTGTCAACTGTCCGACATAAAAGCAGTCTATCTGCCGTCTCGGGTGGTGCCGTGTTCCAGTTGGCGTATCGTCCTTTTCTTCTCGTGCCTGCATCTCGGTCCCTCCTCTCAATTGAGGGTCCTCTTTTTTTTCCTTCGCAGCCATAGTAGCGTGGTTTATCAGAGTCGGCCAACCCAACTTTGGCACCGCCAAAACACATTGTCAAAATGAGACCCTTTCTCCGTACACAGACAGCTCTGAAGTGCTCAGCCCGGGCCGCCAGAGCTCTGCCAACATGCTGGGCAGCTCGCCCCTTCAGTTACTCGGCCCGCGCAGCCTCAGCGCTGCGACCGCTTGATGCCAGCAAGCTCGAGGTCACCAAGAATACTACCCCCAAGCCCTTGAGCAAACCCGAGGACCTCGTCTTTGGCAAGGAGTTTACTGGTAAGTTCAACTATGATAGAGATTCTGAGTGTATATGCGCAGCTTGTGGACATTGGCTAACTTAATCGTCCTTGCCCGCAATAGATCACATGCTTACCATCGAATGGAATAAGGAGGAAGGATGGTTGAACCCCAAAATCACTCCTTACCAGAACCTTTCTCTTGACCCTGCTACATGCGTGTTTCACTATGCGTTTGAGTGCTTTGAGGGTATGAAGGCCTACAAGGACAAGTCTGGCCAGGTTCGCCTGTTCCGCCCTGATAAGAACATGGCCCGCCTAAACAAATCATCTGCGCGCATCGCCCTGCCTACCTTTGACTCCGAGGCCCTCATTGACTTGATCTCCAAGTTCGTCCAGCTCGAGGCCGCCAAGATCCCAGACCAGCGCGGATACTCACTCTACCTGCGCCCAACCATGATCGGCACCCAGAAGACCCTCGGAGTCGGCCCTCCAGGCTCAGCCCTCCTCTATGTCATTGCCTCGCCCGTGGGCCCCTACTACCCCACCGGCTTCAAGGCCGTCTCCCTCGAGGCCACTGACTACGCCGTGCGCGCGTGGCCCGGTGGCGTCGGCGACAAGAAGCTCGGCGCCAACTACGCCCCCTGCATCGTCCCCCAGCTCGAGGCCAGCTCCAGGGGCCACCAGCAGAACCTGTGGCTCTTCGGCGAGGAGCAGTACGTCACCGAGGTCGGTACGATGAACATGTTCGCCGCCATCAAGGACAAGAAGACTGGCCAGAAGGAGCTCGTCACCGCCCCTCTCGACGGCACCATCCTCGAGGGCGTCACCCGCGACTCCGTCCTCGCCCTCGCCCGCGAGCGCCTCATCCCCGAGGGCTGGAAGATCAGCGAGCGCAAGTACACTATTAGAGAACTTGCCGAGGCGTCCAAGGAGGGCCGCCTCATCGAGGCTTTCGGAGCCGGTACCGCTGCTATTGTCAGCCCCATCAGGAAGATTGCATGGAAGGACGAGACCATTGACTGCGGTCTGAAGGCGACCGAGGAGTCTGGCGAGATTGCGTTGAAGATGAAGAACTGGATGGAGGCCATCCAGTACGGTGATGAAGAGCACGAGTGGAGCTATGTGTCTTCCAAATAAGAAGTAAAATCGTTGTAGACGTGGGGCTTGGGACGTAATTATAAGCATGCAGAATCAAAAGAAGAGACAAAGTTTCGTATGCCATCTTTTATTTTCCCACGTTTGTTACACATCTCGGTCTGTGTTGGCACAATTGAATAATTGAGGTGTTTTGCATTGGACGAGCCAAATTGAACCGCCATCCGATATGCTGTTTGTTGAATAAAAGACAAAATGAACAAATAAAAAAGTTATTTCTAATCATGGCGTGAACCACCGAGCTTCTTCTCTCAGATGAAAAATGATGAGAGCAACTATACACGTGTGGGGTCGGGCCAATCCATAGCCCTGAGCGGCTCAATCATGCCATATATTCTTTCTGTTTGTAGTCTATCCCCCCCTCGCCGCCTGGTCCCCGTCCTACTCCTTCTTCTCGCCGTTAGGGTAAGGGTCGGGCAGGATACCCTCGGCCTCTAACCTCCGTCGTGCTTCCTCGAGAGCCCAGGTAGAGACGCTGTTTAGGCACAAATGGGTTAGCAAATCCGACTCGGAAATCAAAATGACGCAGATCCGGGCAACATCGCAGCGCTGTAGCTTCCTCGGCACCGTCCCTCCACGCTGCGGGGGTTCCACCAAGAAGTTACAGCGGGCGTTGCTGTGCTGGGTCGGCTTCGATATAAGACTCACGTCGTATCAGGCTTGAATGCAAGGGCGACTGTGGCGGCGGCGAGAGCACCGCAGAAGATGTACATGGGCCACTCCCATCCCTCAGGCTCAGCCTTCTCGCCGGGCTTGATTCCCCAGAGCCAGCCGGTAGGGGGATCCCACTGCTGGCCGCCGCCAGCTTGTCGTCGGGTGGTCAATGAAAAGCTTCGCGTGGTCGTGGGGGCAGTGTGGCGGATGCAGCGCGCTGAACGCGCGACCTGGCGGAGGAAAACCATGGTGGTCGTCGAATACTCGTAATTTGCAGTCGGTTCTTCGTGGAGGGGGCCCTCAATGGCTTGGTTCGGGGGGCTTGATGCGGATTGACGGGGTGTGAGTCGGGAGATGTCGTCGTTGTTCGATATACGAGAGTTGCTCCAGCCGGCGAACCGGAACGGTCACGTGACGGGAACGGGAAAACTCCTCCCCCACTGCCACTAGTCTGAGCTCGTCTCTGGGCTGGAGCATCGCGGAGCAAGCTGATTCGCATGATCCAACCACAGGCTCCATATTATTCATAACTGATGGTGGGCAGCCTGGGCTTGTCCGTCCAACCTGGGGATGATCCGGCCTGGTTTGATGTCATGAAAATGCCCGGAATCAAGGTTCGTCGGACGCAAACCAGGCCCTGTTTGGCCATCGCTCGATGCCACCCACGCAGGGATTCCGGGATCTTACGCGAGCGATAGACAATTCAATCGGTTTCTTCAGCAGAGGCCAGGAGAGCTGCTAACGTAGATGAGAATGACACCTGTGACCCACTATGTGCTCGTGCTCCTCACATGGTTCAAACTCGACACAGGGTTGACGAACCAAATGGCCTACCATCCATCTCTCTTATGCATGAGGTCGTGTGAACGGCGCAGATCCTCGCACGATCATACCTTTCTTTGACCATGAAATTGCGCGTACTCGATCAGAACACCCATCACACTATGTCCACCTTAGTTGCTCTTTAACAGGCAGCACACGCGACCACACTAATAGCCTCAGCGTTCCAGTTCTAGCTGGTATTGTCGCTCATTGTAAGACAACGCCATTGAGGACAGGAAGGCCTTTAAGAAACCAGCAGTTTTATCAATTCTAGATCTTGTGCCCTGTAGTATTCACCGTCGCGCTTCTACTATTATGGTTCTCGAGATGTCAATGAGTCCTTCGCTCAGAACTCGCCATGAACCCTGAACTTGCCCTTCCCTCCTTATACAAGGCATCTTCAGTTCCCATACGCTCACACAAGGACGACAATGCTGCGACCTCCGCTTCGGGGGGTCAGCCGGCTTTGGCCCCAGATTTTGGTTCTTCCCTCCGCCGCCGGCCAACCCTCGACACGCGGCGTAGCTCCACGATCAGCACGGTTCAAATAGAACGCATAGTATCAGAGGAGAGGGCTGATACCAACACCTATGGCGTGTCCGAGTTGCGTGAGGGTTTCTTTGACGCCCTGTTTTTGAAGCCCCCCCAAGCCCCCCAAGATGATCTGAAGGACAGGTTCGAGGCAACCCTCCCAGAGGGCTGGAAGGACAAATCACCACTGAGGCCAAGGATCTTGACTAAGAAGCAGTGGGAAAGACTCCGGGGCATAGTTGTCGAGTTGATGACGACGCGGGAGGGTGTCCGCCTGTTGAAAACATCCACGGCCTTCTTCACAGCCTATGCGCTATGCCTGGTTCCTTTGGTTCACAACTGGCTAGGAAACTACAGCTACATTACGGCGGTTTCTACCATATTGAACCATCCGGCTCGCAGCTTCGGGTCTCAGATTGACGGTGCCGTCCTCACCATCGTCGGGACCGGTGCAGGTCTGGGCTGGGGGATTGTCGGTCTTCTGTTGTCTACCTCAACCATAGCTGCTCGAGCCGGGTTTGGCGGTATCCTAGCTCTCTTTCTGGCGCTCTTCATGACCACAATGGGTTGGATGCGATCATTCTTCCTCAGGTTCTATCAATGTGTCCTGTGTGCTGGAATCGCCATCATGTGCATGACCTTGGCTGAAACGAACGATCACAGCGTCGAATGGTCCAAAGCCAGGAGCTATGGAATATCCTGGGTTCTGGGGCAAGCCATTGCTTTGGTCGTCAATTGTCTGGTCTGGCCGGATGCCGGGGCTCGACCTCTGGCCATAACCTTTCACGATTTCTTTGGAATCACAAAAGTAAGCAAACTCCCCCACCAGGATGACCGATTGGTCCGTCTTTTCAGTTCGACCACTAACTGAAGCAAGAATGCTCTCCAAATACCTAGTCCACGGGATAACGGGCGGCAACGGCGCCTGGCCCAGTCCTATGTTGACTTGTCCCAAGCTCATCGTGACCTGCGGCTGGACTTGACAATTACCAGATTCCGCCCTGACGACGTGGAAGACCTGCGGAACCTAATGCAGGGTGTTATAAGAGCACTCCTGTCTATGGACACGGAGACCTATCTAACAGATGACGCATCTCAGACCAAAAGCGCCAGTGTTATAATCAATATGCCCGAAGCACCGGGGGTGAATGCAGCAGACTTTGGACTCAGTAAAGAGGAGTCAGTGGCCGATCTCGAAGACGTCAGCACAATGGTGCTGCACGCGCTATCAAAGCCGCTTCGAGAGGTCCTGGATAGCATTCTGGAAGGTCTGGATCGCAGTGATGCTGCTCTGATGGACCTTTCCGGCTATCGCAAATATATCGGACCTCCGATGGATGTATCAGCCGACGTGGGAGCCATTCAGATTCGCCTCAACAGTACGCTCTCAGCATTGAATGATGCTGAGATTACAGTCTTCCAATCTAACAAACTCACCTCTCGGACAATGCAAGCAGCCGATATCGTTCAGCTATTTCTCTTTGTACGACACACCAGGGAAGCCGCAGACGCCGTCCAGAGTCTACTCGACAAGGTTGAAGATATGCAGCAGATGTCGGACTGGCCCCGGCTGAACTTTCCCTCCTACTCATTCTGGAAAGCCATTCATCGAGCGAACCGCCAGACTCGACATGATCGTGGAGGAATCACCGCGGGCTCTTACCATTCCACCTTTGTGCAGATCGCCGACCTGCTGGAGAGCATCAAATCAAAGGAACACAAGCCAACGCGCACGAGAGCAAACACGCCAGAGCCCGAGGACGGAAGCGAGGGCGAGAGCATGCCATACCCAATAGACTCGCATCCACAGACTGAAGACCCGGACAAGGTTGACGAAGACGACGTTGGCCATAAGATCTGGCGAATCCTCCGCCACCTACAAGGTTTCGAAGGCCGATATGCTTTGAAAGTCTGCATCGTCACGTCACTCCTCTCAGTCCCCTCTTACCTCGACGGGCACGAGTGGTGGGACCGCTACCATGTCTGGTGGGCTGTAGCCGCGAGTTGGGTCATGATCCATCCTCGTGTGGGGGGTAACGTACAGGATCTCTTCACGAGATCACTCTGTGCCATCCTGGGAGCCGTATGGGCTGGTGCGGCTCAGGCTGCTGGGAAAGGGAACCCGTACGTCACGGGTGTATTTTCAGCCATCTTCATGGTACCTATGCTCTACCGATTCGTGCAAAGTTCACATCCAGTGAGTCTCCTCCCATTTCAGCCCTGACTGACACGAACACCCGGACGGCAACTAATTAAACTCGAATATAGCGATCTGGGCTAATCGGCTGCCTGTCTTTCACCGTCGTATCACTGAGTCTACATAACCGGCCTGAAGACGATGCCGGCATCACTTTCACCATTGCCATGGGTCTATGCTTCTTCGTTGGAACTGCCGTCCCCATTTTGGTAAACTGGGTTCTCTGGCCCTTTGTAGCAAGACATGAGCTTCGTTCCGCCATGTCTTCCATGATTTTCTTCATGAGCATCATATACCGCAGTACGCAACTCCCCTCACTCAAGAACCTAACGATACAGAAACTAATACACCGCAGACGTCGTTGCCAAATACGTCTACTTCGAAGAGGGCAAGGAGCCCACAGCGGTAGACATCCAAAAGTCGGAACAACTCGAGGGCCACATCCGCGAAGGCTTCCTCCGAATCAGACAACTACTCGTAAGGCCACACACACAAAAGCTCACATCTCTTCAAACTACACACCAAACTTACAGAACTTCGCCCATAGGAACTCACCCGTCACGAGATCCGGCTCCGCGCCCCCTTCGACCCCCTGCCGTACAGCGCTCTCGCCGACGCCTGCGAGCGCTTTTTCGACTACCTCATCGCCGTTCGCCAGGCCGCTCTGTTCTACAACCCGGGATACATCCGCGACAACCCCGTCGCTTCTGAGAAGCTTCTGGGGTATCGGCGAGACGCGGTGGCCGCGATCCTGGGCAACCTGTATATCCTCGCAGGCGCACTGCGATCGCAGAGAAAAGTACCTGTATGTGAACCTACTCTCAAATTATACAGCCCTGCTGCGCTGGGGGTTCCCCTATTCGGAAACAATAGACTGACTCTGTCAAAGCGATATCTCCCAAATGCCGGTGCCGCGCGAAGAAAACTTCTCTTGCGAACTATCGAGATAGAGGACGAGATTGCTGCACAAGCCGAGAGAATCGGCTCCTTCAACACGCGGTGGTCCGACATTCACAGCTTCTCATTTAACGAAAGCCTCACAGGATGCATAGCCCAGCTGGAAGAGCTGGAGGAGCTGACAAAACTCATTGTTGGGGAGCAAGGGTAAGTTTATAATGCTAACTGCTGAAGCGATGTGCTGCTAACTGGAGGCACGAATGAATAGCTTCGATGATGACTTGAAAGAAGACCCCGTAGACCAACTGCGTAACAATCCCCCTTGAATACAACCAACGCCTCAGTCAAATATATCCTAATGCCATTTTACCAATCCCAAAACTCATTTCCTGCCCTACGCCAAGTGTATATGCCCAAAACATATTATAATGGTTGTTAATATGCGCCGTTCGTCATCTCGTTTAATATGTCCCGAATAATGGGCTTCGTTTTCATCAGCCGTTCGCCAATCTTCGCCTTCTTTGGCGAGGGTCTCATATTCTCCTTTCCCTTTAGACCTCCTACAATTTTCTTTGGTGACTTTTTAGGTTTCATGGGCGATGGGCCGTTTCGTTGTGTCAGCCCGCTTGCTGTAATCTGCGTTCCAAACTCTTCAAAGTGATGGTTCACCAGGGCTTCGGCGGGGAGGTGGTAAATCCAGTCATGGTCTTCCATGAGCGAGATGAACCTGCTAAGCATATTCTCCTGGCCACTTCCTTTTAAGGTGCTCATGCTTCCCACCACCAGAAGCTTCGTCTTCGCACGTGTAAATGCGACATTAATACGCCGCCAATCTTTGAGAAGGTCGCCAATATTGCAAGCATCGTTGCTTCGCACAAGACTTAGAACAATGACTTCTTTGTCACGACCTTGGAATCGGTCCGTAGTGTGCATTTCGACACCGTGGAATCCTCGAAGCTGATCCTTGAGCATGAACAATTGAGCTCGATAATGCGTCATTACTCCAATCTCGTTGCTAGGTATACCAATAGAGAGGAGACTATCAACGAGTTGAGATACGACGCGGCATTCGGCCGAGTTGACAATACGCTTGCCTTGGGCCTCCTCTCGAACCAGCGGCTGGATTGTATCAGTATCAAGGAACCGCACACGAGCTTCGCTATCTAGAACATCCGAAAGCCAGCAGCGACCAGGAACAGGTCCCGTACATATGGATCGTGGCGTCCCAGCCAGACGTAGAGATGCCGAGTCAAAATGCTTCAACTTCAGCCCTTCCATTCTTGGTATGTCTAGTTTGCGCTTGCGGAGAGATTCTGTGCCGCAGCGTAGCCGCCCGTCATAGATCAATGTATTGCTCAGAGTCATAATGTCCTCGCACATGCGGTACTGATGCTCGAGATTAACCACGGATTCAGGGTGTGCGTCGGACAGAAGTTTGAAAAGGCTCACATCCAAGCCGCCTTCTCGTGCTTCTTCATTTTTCACCACAGGCGGTAGTTGGTTGTGATCACCAACAAGAACAAATGTACGTGCCATTCTGATAGGTCCCGCACAGATGGGTAATGTAATTTGAGATGCTTCATCCACAATACAGTAATCAAATGAGCGCTCGTGGAAAACGGGGTGGTTGATCCCCAGACAAGTTGTAGCGACAATTGGAGATTCGTGCCATGCTTCCTTGATCTGCTCATACGACTTCATTGGCAGGCCAGCCAAAGTGGCAAACTCCTTTACCTCGGGGTGCACCTTACTAGGAACACCCAACCTCAGAATAGGGGTATTGTCCGACTTGAGCTTGAGAAGAATATTGTCAACCGCGGTGTGTGTGTGTGATGTGAGAAGGACGCTTTTCCCTTGGGATGTGAGTGCTCGGATGATGTGGGCGATAGTTGTCGTCTTGCCCGTGCCAGGCATGCCCAATACCAGGGCGTAATCTTGCGCACTCATGACTTTCTCGATGGCTTGTTTTTGGTCCACATTCAAGCTGTCTCCATCGGTGACGGTGTACTGGGTTGCGACAGGCTTGAATCGGGGTGGTTCCATGTCGACAATAACCTGGCGCATTCTTCTCGAGTGAGGGATGTCATCGGCCATCATCTGTACAAGATTGTTCCTGACGGTTGCCATGCCGTTGCTGAATTCATCTTGGTCCAATCGATATCGGATTGATGGAACTTCATCTTTCCCGCGGGCCTCTCCTTGAGAACTAGGTCCCAGTTGTGCCTCCATAATCCCGGCAAAGACTTGATTGTCGACCTCATCAAAACCAGGTTGTCGAATCCGAGCGTTGTGCAAACGTCTATCGACAGCGACACTAACTCTGTCTTTTCGAACAGCCGTGATGTAACCAATTGCCAGGGCAAAGTGACCCTCTTCATCAGACACGACCACTGGCTCTCCAGTACTGAGCTCTGATTCAAGGAAGGAGAAGCCAGGCACATGCTCCCTTTTGATGAAGGTGTAGTGAAACCTATTGATGCGCGGGATATCAGCATCGATGGATGCTGACCCTGGTTCGATGATAACATCAGAGAAGCAACGTGACTTTTTCTCTCGTTCCGCGCTCGTCATCGTCCAGAGCTCTCGTTTCATTTTCTGGCTTTCCTTCTCCTCTTTGGTGATGAGATTGTCCCATTTGATAAAGAATTCTTGATGCCGTGTCGAGAGATGTTTCACCACTTCATCAAATTTCTGATCCATACCGCTAGTCTTGCCGTCTCCATCGTCTGCTAATCGATGGTAAATAAAGCAAGATGTTTTAGCATAGCAATTTCCACACATCCGCTTATTCTTTAACATTGTCGGAAGCTGGATGCTTCGCTCTCGAATATGGCACGCAAGTTCGTTGCGTTGCATCACCATATGGCGTAGCTCGTGAGCAATTGCAGGGATCCGGAGTGTTTTTGACGTTTCCATATAATAAAGAATACCACAAGCGATGTCGATGTCGTAACGATCTGAGAGCAGCATCGTATAGAGTGACGTTTGAATCATGTGATTCGAGTTCGAGTTCCTGCCTGTTTTGAGCTCAAAGGGAACCGTCAGGGTTCGCTGTTTCGGTCCGTCCTGGATTTTCACTTCAACGGTAGCATCGATGTTACCTTTAAGCCCATACATTGGAGACCAAACATGTTCTTCAACATCGAGGAGCTTAGTTAACGCCATTTGCGCCTTGCTTCCGCGACGATCCTCGACAAGAGCATCAACCTAAACTTCGTTAGTATGTAATATCATAGTTATGACAAATCCAGATGAACCTACATTGGGTTGGGACGAAACAAAACTCGATGCCCAAGATGCGAGCCCGGCCATCTTAGACTCCAGATGTTCTCGTGCTACTGCCATGCTAACTTTTATCGTATACAAATCTTCCACATGCTTCTCCATGACAGTTTCGATGGTTTTTGAGAGAAAGCTTCGGCTCCACTGATTTGCCAACAGAGCTGCCTGAAAGATTTCGTGAAGGAGTGTGCCATAAACCAAGGGTGGAGATGGTTCGCTAGTTGCTTTGACTCTGTCCTGAAGAACAGCACGTCTCATACATCCATACGAGTCTGCAACAACCGTGGAAGAAATAAGCTGGTCAGGGTGTAAAATGAGAAGGTTCTGGAGGTCATCGATAATGCATTGGCCCTTTTCTGAGAACTGTCCAATTATATGGACGTAGGCTTCGGCATGAACAGGCGTGTCGTACCAGCTACCTCGCAAGAGCACGGTTCGATATATCTTCGAATTTTCCGCCTTAATCAGCAGAACCTAATTGGTGTTAGCATTGCCATATATCAAATAGAAAGAAAATGCTGCAAACCTTTTCGATCTGGGTGGTTCCGCTGTCATCGACGAACTCCCCATCTAAAACTTTCGTCACTAAATATCGCTGTATAGTCTTGGATTTTCCACCGGTCTACCTTCACTTAGCGTTGGCTACTCGTTAGATCCTTTCCGACGTACTGGTGTTATGAGTCCACGAGCTGGGTTCTTTGGCTGTGTGCTTTGGTTGACAGACTGGGTAGCTGCTAGTTCGATCGCATCGAAATCAAGGTCGTCGTCCAGATCTCCGAACTCTTCGTCGTCGAATTCTTCAATATTCGCATTTGCTCCTGGCGCAACGCTCCCGGGCTGTGGTACAATTGCCTTATGGTCGTTTTGCGGATTTTTCTGTGACAAGGCCGGGACAAGATTTGCGGCCTCTTCGAATACATCGTCATCTAAATCGCCAAATTCGTCGGTTGCATCTGTTCCACTAATGGGGATTTCCGGAGCCTTGTCTGCTTTCAAAGCCTGGGTGGCAGTTATTGTAGCTTCCAGCTCCAAAAACGTATCTTCGTCAAAGTCGTCATCGCCATAGTCCGAGGCATCTTCCGTCTCAAAGTTACTCTGTTTCGATCGGGAGGGTGACTTGTCTTGCCTGGCAGATGTCGGTCTTTTCGATGGAGATGGCGAGTCCGGTACCTGGCGTTCGTTGTCCGGTGAGCTGCGGTCCTGCATACTACCAGAGACCGTGTCCAACAAGGCTGACACCATGGAATATTTCGAGGCTGCTTCCATTTCTCGTTGTTCGTCGCCAGCGACGTTGAATGATCTAGAATTCTCCACTTTCCTCCTCTTCGGGCACTGCAGGCCGTGGCTCATGGACCGCCGCAAGCTGCCTTCGCCTCGCCGGGGTCCAGTAGATGGTCGTGGAGAGGATGATATCATCAGCTGCGCCAGCGTAGGGTTCATAGCTCCAATCGCAGAGGTGCTTGGGCTCTCGCTTTTGTTCAGCGAATACCTATCCCACAGTTCCAGTGTCGGGTCCGCGTGGGGAGACTTCAGAGCTTCCTTGAGCTTCTTGACGTTCACAGCCGGTGTTTTATCGAAAGAGGGTGATGAGACCGGTGATGAGCTTCTAGCACGTTTTTTCCGTCGTGACATGGGCGACGGTTTCTTGGCGCTCTCCAGTCGGTTATCCCACATCAATCGATCATTCGGGGACGTCTCTGCTTCTTCTTCTGGCGAACCGGTGGGATTCACGAAATCTTTCCAGCTGAGCCGAGGCTTGGGTGTGACGAAGCTCCCATTCCCAGCCTCTTCGGAAGGCAATTGCCTCTCAACTGGCGAGTCCGTTCTACCAGCACTGCTCGCATCTTCCTTCTCCGACTGGTAGACGAATTTGTTTAGCTTTTTCTTGGTCGTGTCCGATATGGGTTGAAGAGGCCTAGAGCTGGGCGTTTGAGGGTTAGACGGGCCGCTTCGAGATCGTTGCCATGTCGAGCGCTGCTGTGAACAATGTCAGTCAAATAGGTACATAAAGTCAACAAATACCACCGACCAGGAGACTTACTCTGGAGTATCCAAGATGCTCAGAATAAGACTTCTGAAGAGGCATTATAAGCACTAAAAAGCCCAAAAAATCCAAGTGCCTCTCAACATCTGGAGAAACACAGGACGATGTGCAATGGCAAGTTTGAAAGCGCTGCTACTACCAGGTGGGCATTAACAGTGAAGACTGGCAACCGCGCCGGCGCGTAAAGAGAGACCCCTTGACGCGACCTCGGTCCCACTAATAACGCGCGCTATCCCAGCAACCATTTAAACAAAGGTACGTACCATCGGAAAGTGACGTCTCGGGTCGCTCGGACACGTGATGCTTGCATTTATCGATAAAGCTGTCGATGATGGCATCAGTGTAAACCAAATACACCTCAGGTACTTATAGGTTAGGAACTTGTTAGCAAGTCTCTCTACCTATCGGTCTCAAATTGAGCGGCAGGGAACTTCTGAACCTACGTCTCCCAATGGACGACCCAAACAATGACAGCCGCAGCAGCGGTCATCAGGGCGGCGATGGCTCCCGTCGCAACCTGGTCTACGCAGAGAGGTTCAAGGAACGGCTAGAGTCCATCTCCCAAGAGGCCCAGATTCTCTCCGAAATAACCAAGCCGTACCGCGAAGAAGCCCGCCAGCAGATCAGCCGCGCAATCCCCGAGGGCAATTGGCCCGCCTACATGGCCATCAGCGGCGTCACACGGGACAAGATCATTACCCACGGTGAGGGGCTCGTCTCGGCCCTCGCGGCCACCAACAATACCAGCCTCGAGGATTCGCAGGTGCAGGCCGTGGCGGACAGCCTGATGGCCAATGCCCGCACCACATCCATGAGCCAGTGGGGCATGTTCTCGGGCACGCTGTACATGGCCTACCGGAACCGCCACTCGATGCCCCTCCGCCTTGCAGCTTCCAAGGGCCGCCTGTTTAAGTACGTCTGGCCCGGTGTGCTGTTCCTCGTCTACTCCATCCCTGTGTCTCTATTCCTCTCTCCCATTGTGACGGCTGCAGGTGCCAGGTACCACGCGGGGCATTTCAGAAATGACCCCAGGCTGAGCAGCCTTTCGCTTGACTTGAGCGAAAACCTTCACCGGCGCTTGCAGAGCGCACAGCAGAGCGCACAAGGGCAAGTGCCCAACCAAAGACAAGTGCCCAGCCAAAGATACGGCGAGAGGAGTCAGGATAATTCGGACACGCCGTCGCAGGGATATGAAGGAATCCGGCAACCGGCAAGCCCTGGTTGGATGCTTGCTAAGAACATTCAATCACCGCCCAGCCCTACAACCAGTGGTTGGGGAGTATCAGACGATGAGGATGACGACGCTTCACCTATCGCTTCATCGGCTCGACGATCCCCGCCTGACTCCGGTCTATCGAAATGGGAACAATTGCGAATCCAATCAGGGTCTCAGCAACGCCCAACTCCTTCACGACCACCGCAAGAGAGCAATGGCTGGGGGTCCACTCAATCATCAGACTCGGGGGATGACGATAGGGCAAGGTCGCAAGCACAACAAGAGTTCGATGCTCTATTAGAAAAAGAGAGACAAGGTACTGGAGAAGGACGAGCATGGGGCAGGAAATAAGAGACAAGTAAAAAGAAAAGAAAAAAGGAACACGATTCCAGTGTAGTTATTTCATTGGCGCAACAGCGCGGCATTGTATCATCATGTTCAATATACTACTCTTCACACAGAAGCTCAATGTCGAAGTTTATTAATTAAACACAACAGACTTCGGCAAAATACATAACTAAACTCAACAATAAACTACCGAAGCCATCGCTCATCCATTCCTGTGTTTTTTACGGCTTGACTTCATCCTTGACAGTCAATGGCTCAACCTCGCTTCCCTCGGCTGTTTTCTCTACGGTTGCCTCCAAAATACTCTCACCGGCTGTGTTTGCGGCGAGAGTCTTGGTCTCGACCTCCGTGTTATCGGCTTCCGTGGTACCGATCTCCGTGGTATCCGCCTTCTTGATTTCAGTTTCCTCGTCAAGTTTTTCCTTGCTCTCATCCTTGACCGGTTCAGGTTCGGGGGCGGCCAGAGTATCCGATCGGGTTTCTGACTTGACTGGTACTTCTGTAGTGGTGTCGTCACTTGCAGATATACTTTGAGGCTTATCCACTTCTTCACCTTTAACGTGAACGTCTCCCACGTCAGGGCTGATGGACCATACACTTATCGATGAAGATATACTCAGTGTCAGTGCTGGTGCAGTCTTAGTCTCAGTAGCAATGCTTGTTGCTGGAGCAGGGCTCTTAGCGGGAGCGCGACGCTGTGGACCACGTGCTCGACCCTTTCGAGCATCAGACAGTGGTACCTTCTCCTTCTCCTCAACCGCCTCTGGGGCAGGTGCTTCTTCCTTCTTGGGTGCCTGTGGACCAAGCTGGAGACGTTTATTTAGGTCGCTCATGAATCCGGCCTGTAGTGCAGCAATCTTTCCACCCGCGGGTCTACTTGGTACAGGAGGCTTGGCTTTCGGGGCCTCGCCATCCTTCGAGTCACCAGAGAGACCCTTTGAAGGCCGGGCAGGAATCTGAGGCTTCGGCTTTTCCGATACGGCGGGCCGCTGCTTTTCATCACTGGGGGTTTGTTTTGGCTTGGGTCTGCTCGGAATAACTGGGCGCTCGGAAGATTCCGGGGATTTCCTGGCAGGGCGAGCTGGCACTGAAGGGGTAGCTTCTTCAGTTTTTGAACCCTCGTCTGGGTTCGACTCCTCTGGCTTTGGCTCATCCTGGGGAGACTCGATGGTAGCCTCATATACATGACTCTCTGGGACATCCTCCCAAACATCTCGGCTTGGGAATCGATGACCAGAACTTGGCCTCTCTGGTTTCCCCTCTGATCTAAGGTGGGCCAGATGAGGGTTCCATGGGGACTGCTTCTGTTCGGGCGAGGGTAAGAATGTAGGCGAAAGACCTTTTGCTCGACCGCCCTCGGCCTCTTGCTCTGCCAATTGTTCTTGCTTGAGGGCAAAGGCATGTGCGGGGGTCAAAGGTCGGTCCTGGCGAGATCCTGAAGACCTTGAACGATCGTTCTCGGGCTCGGGTACGTCTGGAGTTGATACAGCCGCCGTGTAATGGACACTTTCGGGTGCATCTTCCCAAATATCCTTGCTGGGAAATGGACGATGGGACTTGGAATCATCTGCCCGCTCCTTCTTCTTGTGCTCATCATCTTTGCCTTCAGGGAAAAGTGGCTCGTACTCCTCGACGTCATCAAGAGGCGTTCGAATCTCTGGCTGGGTTTCTTGATGCATGCTTACAGGCCGACTTGTGGGACGGCTTGGTGCATCATCCATCTCAAATGCGCTCCCCACGCGCGCTGGTGGGGGGTGCACAGCAGGCTTTTGATAATACGCTCTCGAATCCGAAGCTACTTCATCAGCAGCCAAAATGGGAGCTGGGTACTCCTCCGTGTCGACAATTGCCTTCTCATCGGCACTAGGATGGCGATAGTCGGGGTGCGAGGGATCGTCCACATGGATCGCCCCATCGTCAGTGTCCTTCCCTCCCTCGGGGAGAACAATCTCAGGGCGAGTTGAGGTAGATGAGCCAGTCTTTCCATTCGCTGCGCTAGAGGTAGGACGTGGTGTAGCAATGCGATTGGCATATTCCTCGCTTGCCTGGAAACCAACTTCGTCAGTGGGAGTGCTGCGGTATTCTGAAGAAGTTCCTACAGCCTGTTAGCCAACAACGCCACGCTCCTTGACAAAGACATTGCTCGCATACCAACTCCAGCTCCACGGCTAGCTGTGTCCCTAACCAACTTATTCAATTCAGCGCTAGTCATTGCGTAGTTATTTTGCGAATCATGAATTGGTGTATATTCGTCCCTCTTGAGTGCGTCTGGGTTCTTCTCATAGTAGGCCTTTTGAAGCTTGTCCTGAGGGCCCACGCCATGGCCATGAAGGCCGTAGCTACCAGGAGGCAGGCCACGAGAGCTATGCTTACGCTGATGACCCTTATTAGGGGCATCATTATCAGGGAATGAAGGTGCCTGGACATCACCAAGATGCGGATTCATGGGCACACGTTTGCCAATCTCGGGGATGCCATGCTCTTCCTCAAGCGGGGTTTCGTTGTCACTGCCGGTCGACAAACTAGTGCTGGGCTTCTTCTTGATCCCATCGCGGGATGCAGCACGGCCAATTCCAAAGGAGGCCGCCCTGTCAGAGTCGGTGCGCGTGACAACCTGGACTCGCTGCTTGGCGCTATCAGCAGGTAGAGAGGGCTTGGGAGCATGTAGGTGCAAGTCTTCGGCGACCGTGCTGGTGTGTTCCGGGGAAGCAGTTCCCTGATTCAACTGCTGCTCCTCGGCCTTGTGCTGAATTTCCTCTTGCACAGCACTATATTCAACACCCTCTTCGCCAACAGAGGGCATTGGGACGCTCCCAGCTCGCTCGATGGGATCTTCGACCGGCTCATGTATGCTATATGACGGGGACAGAAGAGCGGGCTCATTCTTGGAAAAGTTGCCCTCGTGGAACGGTGAGGGGGCGAACCGCTCGGGGTTGGGGGAGACGGCTCGATCGAGTTTCCTTGCCGGTCGAGGAGGAACCTTGGGCATTGAGGCGCTAGAGCTGTCCTTGTCCGGGGATTTCCTCGAGGGGCGAGGGGGCACTACAGGCGCTGGTTGTACTGTGGCGGTCATGATTAAGAGCTAGTTGCTGTCGAAGTAAAGGAAATATAATTCTATTGTAGAAGAGAAGATGTTAGAACTGCGGGGTTCCGAGATTGAGATTAACGGTATAAGACAGCACGTAGTCGAGATGAAGCGAAAGTGTTGCGCGCGTTACGTCAGACCAGGAAGGAAGCACGGGGCAACGGAGTAGTGGCAGCCAAGGGGGGTGTCACAGGAAGCCAATTCAGCCACGCGCGATGGCTATCAGTCAAGAGATAGCCAATTCGACCTCTCTGACTGGCAGCCGCTAGATAGCTTGCCCCTTGCCTCCGGGAACCTGATTTGCAAATCAGAAACACCAAAAGGTGTGCCGGAAGATCGGTGAAGCTTCCTAGCTCAATTCCAATTCATCCGCCGATAGGCGTTATCTGCAGTTGGGCGATAAGCACCACCTGCAGCTTGCAGAGAGTGTGCTCCCCTGGATTCCAAGCCACTGGGTGTGCTGATGATAATGAGACCGCACGGAAGGTGTGTGATCATGGAATTGGTCATACTTACAGGAATAATAAAGTATAGAGGCAGGGGCGATTGCAAACCAGATAGCACTTTATCCGAGCAGCAAAGGGAGATTGGGCATTGAATTGGAGTAACACGGAACCAAAAGGGGGGGAGGTTACGGTGTGAGCTTCCAGCAGCTGGACAAGGGCTCTATTAATACTTTCATGCCAGCGGCAGAAGCACACAAGGTGCAATTACGCCAGTTTGGGCAGCTTCTGGTTCCTAGAATTCTGCCTCTCAGGTGACGCTTGGAACCACCGTCACCAGCTAAGAAAACCAAGGACAATTGATAAGGTACGTACAGTGTCCGGTCCGGTCCAGTCTGGTACCTTTCCAGTCCCAGTCCAACAGGGGTCGGTCAGCTTCGAGCTCCCACAGTGCAGATCGAGGTCCATTACTTCACTGTGCATGGCTGCTCTATCAATTTTTCCAACTGCAAACGTTTCCTCTATATGTGCTCTCGGGGGTCGAGAGCATGTCGTGTCTTCTCGTTCTTTCTTGTGTCATCTTCCAAAGCTCGCTCAGTTGCCCCATGAGCAATTTCCCCCGGCTCCAGAGCGTGAAATACAGCATTCCCAAGGTAGAGTTCTCGTCGGCCCAACGCAGACCCTTAGCTTGGGTCTAGATACGCTGACCATCAGGGGCTCAGGCATTGGCCTAGCCGAGCTGAGGCCCCGAAGCGCCCGTGACCATACAGTGTGGGAAGATTCTGTCCCCCGCATACGGTAGGTCACGACCCACCGACCGGTCCTGATTCTGGCCCGCCGGTGTGTCGGCCAGAACCATGAATCGCCAGCTTTTCTGTCACAATCCTGCGTGCTCAGACATGGTTTGTATCAGATGCGAGCTGCAACGCCAACACGCCGGGCACACGTTGCTGGCAATGGCCAGTAATAATTGGCCAGCTCGCAAGGATGACGGTCTGTTGGCAGTTGGAGATGCAGCGCCGCCGAGGTAATAACGAGCAGGCACCTCGTCAGAGCTTGGCCCGTATGTACAACCTAACGGCATCGGTGCCCACTCAGCCGTCATCGATCTCGAGGCCGCTGTAACGCCTCTGCGCATTTACTTCCGTGGCGTCTACTTGGCCGGGCAGTCGTGGCAAAGAAATCGCTCCACCACTAGAGAGAGAACACTGCAAATGCGCAACAATCGAGATTAGGAAGCCCAGAGTGAGAGAATAATGTTCCAGAGCGGGTGACCGGGTCCAACTTGTGATGGAGTCCTTTTGCCCATAGCTTCAACATGCCCGTAGACCCAACCCAACCTGAACCACAGTAGCTTCCCTTTGGACGTCCCATTTGGAATGGAAAGCTGCAGACAGATGACGTGACACATTGTGGGTTTTCCCCAGTTCTTCAGCTGATCGACTAGGCCGCTGAATCGATCCGCCTTGTAAGAGCACCTACATACATACGCACAAGGGGCATGCATTGCAGGAACGAGTGAGACGCGAGCCTTTAAACCGGTGCTATTATTATCATGCCAATGCCTGTCTGCATAATAGCCCATTGGTCGCGTCACTTGGGAAACGCAGCTCATTGGTATCAGTTTCACATGCTCAATGCTTCCCAAGACGTATTGCCTGCTCGCCGAAGGAACTTTGTCGGACGTTTGGTCTTCATGCATGTTGCATCAATTTGGGATATGTGCGGGGACCTCTCTGTAAATGGTTGGTGGGGTTGCGGAAGTATGAGGCCATCACGAGACCTACTATTCTTTCTACCTAGGAAGAAATAGCCTGGGAAGGCAAACTGTCCTCCACGATGCCAGTTTAGCCAATGAAGGTAAGCTCAGATAGAATGCTGCTATTCGTACCACATCTATATACGTGCCAACCACACCGTGGGAGGAAGAAGAGTGCTAGCGCCAGTTCGAGGCCATCCGTCCATTTATCAACGGTCCACCAGCCAGTATATATATTGGGTTTGCGAATGCTTCGGTCACATTGCACCCACGAATCATTTCACAAGCTTCAGATATCGCTAAGCTGAAAATAGAATGCCAGTAAATTTCAGTTACAAGAGCCTCCCTAAGAGTCATCCCAGACGCCATTCCCAGCCTTACAGAAGGCCGATTCTCTAATCGAAGGATTGTGAGACATCATACTACGTAAAAAGGTAAAAGTAAAGTAAGAAGAAGGGCAAAAGAAATAAAACCAAGAAGAAAAAGAAGTAAAAAAAGAAAAGAAAGGGCCTGCAACCAGGTCCACCATACTGTCCAACTCTCGTATCATTTTGTCACGGACGAATCACGTTCTCCAGTCATCAATTCGTCTCGTTCTTTCAAGCACCATAACGGTCATGTTTTGAACCTCCTCCGCATGCGCCCGTGTTGCCGGCTAGTGAGGACCGTAGCATTACACAATCATCTCAGCAACTCCCTGGCCACCCAGGGTCTTGCTGCCAACGAAGGCCTGGCCCTTGATTGCTGCCAAGAGATAGCAAAAGGCAGTGAGGGCGAGGAAAATGGCGGGAGCAATGAGAGCGTCGGCGCCGTCAATGAGGGTCAACCACTGAACAACGGACATGACCGCGTATACGGCAGCGCGCATATAGTTGGTCGAGACCTTGCGGATCATAGCATCGAACTTTGCGGAAGTTGGGCAAATTCGGAGCAAAAGGGGCACTTCGACGAATAAAATGACTAACGATGACGCGCTGCATCAGTGAGTCAGTGGAAATGGTCGGCAAGGGATGCAATCCCAGGAGTGAAGTCGTCTCTTACATCGCGAAAGCAGCAAGAATCAGAGACAAAGGCTTAAGGAGACTGGTGATAATAGTAGTGATACCAGTCGCCATGCAAAGAATCATGGACAGAATACCGAGCCTAGGAATCAAAATCAGCCAAAGCTACCTAAAATGTTCTCAACCACTGTTCCCTCAAGAGCCGATACGCAAGCCACCAGATGCTAGGCGAGTTCATGCTCGCTATGCGGCCGGGAGCTCCAGGAGGTTGAAGGGTCCAGTTCGCGTCGGGTGCATCTTACCATTGTCCATAAATGCCTACAGTCAATGTCAGTCAAATGTCCGTCAAGGGATAGTGAGGCTCGAATGGAAGCTTCTTACTGAAGTTTCTCGTTTGGAATTCCTCCTTGAGCGTCATGTTGGGCTACCGTCTAAAAGCTTTGAAGCTAAGTATCGAGTATGTAGTAGGCGGAGGAGCGCAGGAACAGATCCCGGATGAGAAGGACGGCGCAATCGAAGACGGGTCGGTGCAGCAAAAGACGTATGTTGCAAGTTGGTTGGAGCAGTGCGTCGTGAGAGGAGCGGTTTTCAAAGTGTGTCCGTGGAACGATGTTTGTAGATGTCGAACGTCGCGGAAGGACAGGTTTCCGTGGTCGTTGGGGAATGATGTATGTACGTAGCCTTCTCCCTCTTAGTGGTGAGACGTCTCCGTTTTTCAGAGGCTGGGTGCTTGGCTCTGGTTCTGGAACGCGGTTGTTGATTGGCTCTTACACTGGCAGCCCCGCCAAATACCCCCAAGATTGACACTGAAAGCAAAGGAATCCCGACACCCGTCGCTAACAGCTCTGACAAGGGGTCTTTTTCTCGCTAGTCAGCGGTTCAGGTTGGCTAGCGACTGTTATTAATACTGCCTGGGACGGGGATCCAATTCAACTCTAGTCAGACAAGGAGTCCGATCCGTGTGCATTCAAGCAGATTGTCGGCGATATTACAGCGCACAGATACGCTGCTACAAATAGGTAGAAGGGCATGGATGATACGAGCCTCCGTCCAGAGGCACCCGGGTGGATAACTCATTGCACTGGTGCCTGCCCCCGCTTGTACGTAGTCCGGTAGCTGCGAGCTACCGAGAACGAGGTCGCCGCTGGGCGCATCTGGGGCGCAGCTACCGGTTACGTCTCAAGCTGCGGTCCGGTGGCAGGGCCGCGTAACTCCTTCCACGTCAGAAGGCACCGAGGCAGTAGGTAATGCGACTTGCAAGTCGAAGGTAGATGGCCATATCGTCAGGCCTTTCCGAGTATTGTCTACCTATTATTCTTGGTAGCTTCACAGGCAGCATAGCAGATGCCTTGAGCCGGCTGCATTGCTTTGCCTTGAGGCTATTGCTGTACTAGTGGAAGTATAGATGCCACGCAAGAGCTAGCGGTCGATGATTGCCAGTTTAGACCTCGGGTATGCACAGCTCGTCGACGCAACATCAAGCAAGGGACTGCAATGATAGACTATTTGTTTTAACAATTGGCCATGATCATTCGAGGTACTTGGATATCTACCGACGAGATGGTACATCCACGATCCGTAAGGGCTGTGCTTCACATGCATCGACCAACAATCTCACCACAGCAGCCGACGGCCAAATCCGTAGTGATCGGCATCTGCCATCAGCTAAGGTTTTGAGGTTATCACTGATCTCGATAGGAAAGATACAATTCCAAGATGAACGAATGCATCATGATCACGTGATCTATTCAACAAGCATGATCCAGAACCAAGCGAATGAAAGCGTAAATTCCTCTTACAACATTCACAGTCTAACTTATAGAAAGGTCGTAATGATAATTCTACTTCTAGTCTGAAGACCAAGTATCCAGCGATTTGTTTAACTACGGTTGCACAAAAGGCCATTACACACACAAGGCTCTCCAACGTAAAATCTCAATCTCCAAATGCGGGTCTATAATCGCCTTGTAACCTCATTTTTAGCAACCGATTACGATTACGGCACGCTTTTGGCGGGGCCTTGAGAGCAGCCCGTGAGAATTCCTCCACGGCCAATCGAAGCCCAGAGTTGCCCTGCCAAGGTGTGATCCATGTATCTTTGGGAAACTACGCCTCAATTTCTCGGCATTGTGATAGTTTGCTGCTGCGAAGAACAAATGCTCTATATCCTTTCCCAACTCACTCGGCCGCTACTATAGTACTTGCCCTTCCGTGAGGTAGGACTCAAGATATCAATTAGCTTGCCGTGAAGTAGTGCTCAATGTCCTTCTTCCAGCGATTGAATACCTGACTTGCTATTCTGAGGGTTCGGATATAGCTATGAAGTTCTTGGATTGTAACTAGGCCGTCTATTACTGGTGTACCTATGCAGATATAAGCATACTGTAACCCAGGTTCCGTCGCACTGCAGTCAAGACGAGACGATATTATGAAAATATGATGTAATCAGACCAATGAACTTCCCTAATTTGGACCTGCAGATCGTTCGGCAACACAATGCCGCAAATCACCTCCAATGGCACTCTAGAACGGGCGGCCATCTGATGACATATTCCTCCTTAGAATGGTACTTTTAGTCTTCGGTCTAAGTAGCAGGACCCAGCCAGCCCTATTTATTTAGCTTATTTCTTTTTCGCGAATTTTAAGCAGACATTACATCATTGCTATTGCCCCATTGGACTGGTATCACTTCTCAGATGCGAAATAAGCTCGGGGCATTTAAGCTCAGTTAATCAACATGTCGTTCACAGTGCTTTCGGATGAACAGGTGAGGTCAGTGCTCGAGGATCTCACACTCGACGAATTGGACGAGTTCCGCCACGTCCTTTCATCAGCGCTTCATGAATTCTCCAAAAACCCAAGGGCCGTAGCTGTAGAACCCTACCAACAACCTCAATATGCGACGACCCTTCATCCAGACTCCAAGGCGACGACCTTGTACATACCATGCGCGGGTCCGGAGGGGATAGCTTGCAAAGGTGAGGGATAAGCCGTTTTCTGCGGCAAATTCACTCATTATCATGTTCTACTCTCTTGTCACTAACAACCCATCACACCAGTCATATCTCGCACAGCCCCGGATATTATCAAGGGCGAATCAGTAAAGCCCATCGCTCCTACAGGAGCAGTCAACCTCTTCTCTCCCGATGGCCAACCTGTAGGGCTAGTCCAGGCCAGCACGCTCACGGCCTTCCGCACTGCGCTCGGCTCCGCATGTCTCCTGTCTCGCCGCAACCACGTCAAGACACTCACCGTCTTCGGGAGTGGTTCGCAGGCGTACTGGCACATCCGTCTCGCACTGAAGATGCGAGGGTCCTCGATCAAGCATGTCAACATCATCAACCATCGTTTCTCCGACACCGCTGCCAGCATTCTAAGGCATCTTATGGGAGTACCAAGCAACGTTCGCAGCCAGGAGGGATGGGCGAACACGAAGTTTGCCATGCTGACGCCCTCGTTCCACGATTTCGAGAGGCTGCAGGCAGAAAACATCCTCAATGCGGATGTGATCTACTGCTGCACACCGTCCACCGTTGAGCTGTTTGATGGGGAAATACTAACCACCCATGAGGGGCGAAAGAAGGGCAGGCTGATTGTCGCGGTGGGGAGCGTCAAACCAAACATGAAAGAGCTTCCCGAGACTATTCTTCGGCAAGCTACGAAGAACCACGACAAACCCCATCGGCACTTCCACAAGCACGCCGAGGAAGGGGGCGTTATTGTCGTAGACACCATTGACGGTGTGCTGAAAGAGGCCGGTGAGATTATGACCGCCGGCATCGGGCCTACTCAGCTCGTGGAGTACGTTATACGCATAGCCCTCTCTACGTTTTTCCATGTGCAGGTCGATTTAACATCATGTAGACTCGGCGAACTTGTCATGCTGCACCACTTGGCAAATGACGACTCTGAAATCAGTACAGTTTCCAGCGGCGCATCAACAACCGCGTCTGAACGGACATCGCTAAGCATCGATGGGCGAGCAATGTCCACGGTGTACGGCGATGAGACACGGCCCAAGAGTCCGGCAACGTCTGTCTCATCTGACGGTCAGAAGAAGAAATTCCAACTCCCCTTTCGCAAGAACTCAAACAGCTCGTCAGACCAAGGTGAAAAGAAGAAAGAGGATGCTCTCGTCCGGTGGCTCCGAGACGGAACGGTGATCTACAAGTCTGTCGGTATTGGTCTGATGGACTTGTCCGTCGGTTTTCATCTACTCAAGGTTGCGGGTGAGAAGAACCTGGGTACGCAAATCCCCAACTTCACATAGAAAATGTTGGCAAGCATGTATGGGGGAATTTTTTATCAATGAAAGTGGTATGTGCATTGTACAACTATGTATGTAAGACATCGTGAAAACAAAAATAACCGTGGCCCTAGCCTGGGCAAGATGAAATACAAATCTATTCGGCAACCCAAACGGCGCTCATGCCCATACCCGTTCCAATGCACATCGATGTGTTACCGACCTTCTTCCCCGTCCTCTTGAGCTCGTACAGAAGAGTCGACACCTGTCTCGCACCAGTGCAGCCCAGAGGGTGGCCGAAGGCGATAGCTCCACCCTTGGGGTTGATCTTCTCCTGGGGAATACCCAGTTCGTTGGCGCACCAGAGGCACTGGCTTGCGAAAGCCTCGTTGATCTCGTAGATGTCCACATCGTCCTTGGAAATGCCAGCCAGATCCAGAGCCTTGGGGATGGCCTTCCATGGACCCTGGCCCATGAGCAGAGGCTTGACACCGACAATGGAGGCGCAGACGTATTTGCCAATGATGGTCTGTCCGAGCTTCTCGGCAGTTGAGCGCTTCATGAGCAGTACGGCAGCAGCGCCGTCGGAGATCTGACTGGCATTGCCGGCGTGGATGCTACCATCCTTTGCGAAAGCTGGGCGGATCTTCCCGAGCGACTCGGCGGTGATGCCATCGCGCACACCGTCATCCCGGGCGACGGTGATCTCCTTGGTCTCTCCGGTCTTGGGGTCTTCCCACTTGGCCTTGAGGGGGACGATCTCCTCGTTGAAGAGACCTTCCTTCTGAGCCTTGACAGCCTTCTGGTAGGAGGCGGCGGCGAATGCATCCTGGGATGCTCGGCTGACACCAAGATCCTTGGCCATGTCCTCGGACAACACACCCATGGGGACCTTGCAGTTGGCGGACTCCTTGTGGCCCTCGAGGAGTTCGGAAAACTCCGAGACAGCGTTGGGACTGTGTTGCAATGTTAGTAGGGCGAACACAAGGCAGGGACACCGCTCCAGAAGTACAAGACTTACCCATACTGAGTGCTCATGCTCTCCACACCAGCACCAATACCAATCTCGATCATGCCAGCGCGGATCTGGTTGGCGACGTCGACGCAGGCCTGGAGACCAGAGGAGCACTGGCGGTTGAGTGTGCGAACAGCAGTGGCCTCGGTGAAGCCAGCGACCAGACTGGCAGCGCGCATCTCTGTAGCACCACCACCGGGGGCCAGCACGGTTCCCACGGCAATATCCTCGACGAGTTCGGGGTTGATCTTAGATCGGTCGATGATGGCCTTCAGGACACCGACCACGAGGTCGGCGGCCTGTGTGTCCTTGAATCCACCCTTGCCTCCCTTGGTGAAGGCAGTTCGGCAGCATGCGGTGACGACGATCTGGACAAGGGAATGTTAGCGACAGTTCGGCCTCGATGGGCAATAGCTTTCGGTGTGCTGCTCACGTCGTCTGGTCGCTTCTGGAGAATCTTTTCGACACCACCGGCCGTGGGGTTGCCAGAGATCTGGCCCCCGATCTGAGATATTCTGTCAAGAGCTTGGAGTAGGTTAGCGACACATGTTCTCGTTTGATGCGCGCAAGGGCGGTCTACGTACCTCCCATTGTGCCTGTGTTCTTCTTGCTAAGCTTCGCTTAAGGGGTTTGATAAGATAATGGAAAAGAGAAATAGAATAGAGGAGAGTTTGTGAAGTATGGGGTTCAGCAACAATTGAGTGGCGGGCTATATTAATATATGCCGGGAGCAGAGTTGCAGCTCGGCCCGTGTTCACTCGAGAACGCTGATGTCAGCTGTTCGCCTACTGACCTGGAGAACGGCCGAGGCACGTCTCAGTGGCCGGACTTGGCGCCGGTCATGCCGCCAAAAACGCTTGGCGTATTTTCACATGCTTGAACCTTCCCCAGATTTCTCCGCGCACGTGCCGTCGGCTTCTCCATCTAGCCTACCCTAAACAGAGATGCATCAAGATCTACGCTGTTCGGGGCTCTGCCACATGATGCACAACATTGATCGGGGTTCTTATAAATCACTAGCCTGGCATGCCGCCTTGGCCCTGTATTACATGTGAGATGCCTTGGGTGGAGCTTTGTCATGTAATATCTGTATTTCTCGCCGTCTTATACAATTTACTAACCCCTAAGCTTATACCAAATACCCTCCCTCACATTGACATTGACACACGATCAACCAGCCATAATCGCCCACAGAGTCTTGTAGTCTACTCCTTCTTGTCCTCAGGACTAAATGTCAAACTGATGCTGTTGACGCAGTGGCGCTCGTCAGTTGGCGTAGGGAACCCCTCGCCCTTGAACACATGGCCAAGGTGACCACCGCAATTGGAGCACACAATCTCTGTCCTCGTCATGCCTAGGGTGCTGTCTTCATGGCGAGTGACGGCGCCGGGGATGCTATCAAAATAGGCTGGCCAGCCGCAGTTGGAGTTGAACTTCTGCTTGGCCTTGTACAGGGGTGCGGCACATCCTGCACAGGCATAAACGCCCTCCTCCGGGTAGTGCTTGTTGAACTCGCCGGAGCCCGGAGCCTCGGTACCCTTCTGTCTCAGGATGCGGAATTGCTCTAGATTGCGAAAGCTCTTAGTCTACATGCCACCTCTCCGAACGGGGTTCAGCATTGCCTACCTTTGTTGAGGATAGCCTGCCACTCATCATCGGTGCGTTTGTCAGGATAACTCATGTTTGATGAAGCGGAGGAAGGGGAGCCGAAGAAAGATTTGAGAAACGACATGGGCTGGAGTGAAACAGGTCGGATGAGTCCCAGGCGAGCCTGATGCAATGGTCGAGCGCCTCTGGTAAGTGTAGATAGTGAGAAGAGCGATGATGCCAGAACAGGAGACAATCTCATCGAGTACGAGCCGAAGTGATATGTTTTATATTGAATTATCCAAGCTGCTGATGAGCGTGACAAATGATTTATGAGGCTGTGTTGGAGAAGTTGACGGAATCTGAGTCTGTAGCATCATCGCAAGAGGCAGTGGCGAATCAGAGACGCCCCCTCACCTAAGCTATTTACTCGTCCCGCAGGGCTTAGTGATCCCCAGATACGCCATACGCCTGCAGTTACGTGCTCGAGTATCTGCGGAGACATCGACAGTGTCTTATGTCACACTTGCTGCATACTGCCACATATACGAACTATGATAGATGTGTGAGAGGCATCAGTATGCTTTGCAACAATAATATAAGAAAATGGATGGTTCAAAAATTATTGGTTGCTTCTCATGTTTTTTACCTCAGGTTATCAAATCACAACCCAAATATCAGAGACTTGTATATGACGCCCTGTATCGTTCAAAATACCCTGCCACCGTGCTATCCAGGGTAGTACTGATGTGATAGTTTGGGAGAATCTTATTGCAAGGCGCGGCTGTCATCAGAAATACTGCTTTGGGACGGAAGCCCAACTACATGGGGTTTTAGGCATAAAGGCTGCAACTCTTTGTAACACTAGGCAGCTCATTTAAAACTTGCCAGTTAGGCAGCTATTGAAGCGCAGGAGAGCACTTTAATTAACATGAAGGGCCAAGGAAATCGCAGAATGTGGCCACCTAATCTCCATATTATTAGGTCCGCCCATAGAAACCTTCAATAGGGGCTTTATAGGCGGCTGAATTTCCATCCATGCCACCTTGCACTGAAAAATAGTGGAGACTGGACTATGCTGAGGCAAGTTCCAGGATCTCCAAGAAATCAAGCATCCCTTTGCCCAACACTGGCGTAACTGATTTTCTGATAGCCTTTTGGCATCTCGCACGCCATCGCATTCTCCTCTACAAGCTACCGCAGTCGAACTACCGAAGCCGATTCCCATCATCTCAGTATCATTAGATCATATCACAGAGTTCCAAAGCAAGCATGTCAAGGCGAGCACCAAACCCCGCGGCAGAGCGGGCGGCGAAGAACCAAGCGACGATCAAGAGCCTCCTGAAGCTTGAGCCGAACAAGATATGCGCTGACTGCAAAAGAAACAAGCGTATGCGACGACACTATATCCCATTGAACCTCATGTTGCACCTTTGGCTGACCGCTGTTTGATACCATAGACCCGAGATGGGCGAGTTGGAATTTAGGAGTCTTTATTTGCATTCGATGCTCGGGCGTTCACCGTGGCATGGGCACACACATCAGCAAAGTCAAGTCCGTCGACCTCGATTCCTGGACAGATGAGCAGATGCAGAGCATCCTGAGCTGGGGCAATGCGCGCGCGAACAAGTACTTCGAGGCCAAGCTGGCTCCGGGACACGTCCCTTCCGAAGCCAAGATCGAGAACTTTATCCGAACAAAGTACGAACTCAAGCGATGGGCAATGGAAGGCCCCAGACCAGACCCCGCTACCCTGGGAGCGGACGCCGATGACGATGTGCCCCTGAGCGTGGTAAAGGAGAAGCAGGCGATCGACCGGAAGGCATCTGTGACAGGCGGCGCACCTCCCCGGGCAGCCCCAGCGCCGCCACCAAAAGCTCCTGCACCCGAAGCTGATCTGATCGGTGGTGATGACATCCCCCCGCCGGCACGTTCGAGTACAGCTGGCCCTTCTGCCGTGAATAGGGTACCTCCCAAGGCCGAACCGGCGCCCCCTAAAGCTACAAGCAATGCCTCGTTGCTGGGCTTGGATTTCTTCGGAGAGCCGGCAGCTCCTCCTCGCCCAGCCAGCACTACTGGTGTCAGCTCCCCTGCTGGCCAGTCTCGACCTGATTTGAAGCAATCTATTTTGTCCCTGTACGCTTCGGCACCAAAGCCTCAGCCTCAGGCGCCCCAGCAACCACAGCATCAGCACCAGGGATCCTTTGGCGGTTTGGGCTCAATGCCTCCCCAACAGCAGCAACAGCAGCAACAGGCATTTGGTTCCGCGGGCGGATTCAACGATGCGTTCAGTACCCTCAGCATTGGAGGCGGCGCTCCAGCCAAGCCCGCCCCAGCCGATCCCTTTGCCAGCTTCGGCAGCGGAAGTGCGAGCCGAGCACCTCCTAAGCCTGCGAGCAACAACAATACATTTGGTGGACTGAGCGGAGGCGGGTTCTTTGATCCCAAGCCAGTCCAACCTTCTGCCCCTCAGCACAAGAGCAAGCCTTCGGACGGTGGGTTTGGAGACTTTGGTGGATTTGCCTCTTCTCCTGCCCCTGCCCCTGCCCCAGCCAAACCCGTACAAACCACTTCATCGAGCATGGGCGATCTCTTTGACCTCTCTGCCCCTGCCCCTCAGACGACATCTCCTCCCCCGCCAGTCACATCCGCCACAACAAGCAGCTCCGTCTTCAACCTGTCAGCGCCTCAAGCAGCCCCCGCACCAGCACCAAAGCCGGCAGCTGCAGCTACAGCTGGGTTCGCAGCACCGTCACTCTCAGGTGTTGATGCATGGGGAGGAAATGCCTGGGGAAGCCCCGACCCAGCTGCAGCCGCACCCAAGCCAGCCGCGGCCGCTGCACCCGCCATGTCCGATGCCTTCGGCGGATGGGGATCGGGCGGTGGCTCCTTTGCCAACGTCCCCATTGTCCCAGGTTCTGGTGGCGGCTTCAACCCGGCCCCTCAAGTGTCTGCGGACGAGGAGTTTGGCGGATGGGCGAGCAGCACTGCCCCTGCAAGCAACACCACAAGCAAGCCTGCTGGAGCGGGTGCCGACGAGGATCTGTTCTCCAATGTGTGGCAATAAAAATCACGTTCTTTGGGTAGATTTAATAGCAAGCTTCAATGCCCCTGTGCGTTGTTGCAGCTGATAGTAGGCGGGGAAGGATCGTTTGAACAGAGATGATTTATGAACGTAGGCTCGGAGTGGCAGGCATATCAAGGGGCGTTTGTTTTGGCATGTCTGGAGTCTTTTCTTCTCATTTTCCCCTTTTCCAAATTTTATTTTCAATTATATAGATTGTCACCAAAATGGACAAGTTACAGATAAAGCGAATGAAAGCAAATTCATGCGTGCAAAGATAACCAAATGCTTCATGGGCTGTATAGGCTCTAATTCCAGACTCCCAGTTTCCCAACGCCAGATATTAATTCCCCCATCAAGAAACAAAGCCGCCATGTCGTGGGCTTCCACCCTCCCCCCGCCATCATGCGGAGTGGTGTAAGACTGCCAGCTGGGCGGACCAACGTCTTCCATGTTCCAGGTATCCGTTCATCACCAACAGACAGCCCAGCGACGGGCATTTTCGACGTATATTATGCACCCCCTTTTTCTACCAGCGAAAGATGATTTTTGTACCGTAATATAGTACTAGGAATGCCGCGATGACGATCCCGGAGAGTTTGAGGATAGCGACCTTGTTGCCGGAGGCGGCCATGCGGGTCAGGCGGCCGGCGGAGCCCTTCATCGACGAGGACATGGAGGAAAATGTGTTGGACTACACGGAGAACGGGCTATGGTTAGCAGGGCGGTTTCGCGACGAGAACTGGGAAGCGGGAGAACGAACCGTATCGTCGATGATTTCTTGGCTGCGAGCATTGTCGTAGATGTCGACGGTGACGCCGCGCAGGGCCGTCACCTTGCTTGACAGCTCCTCCAGGCGAGCATTGTTCTGCCGCTCGCGTTCGTAGGCCTCGGACATGGTTGCGAGTTGTGTGTGGTTTCCTGGTCTCGCGACAGTCGGTGTGCGCTGTGTTGGTCGCTCAGATGCGGCCGAGAATAGATGGCCAGGGTCAAGGTATTATCGGCTGTTCTGGGTCCCACTGAGTATATTGAGGGGGAAAGCGGTAGGGGAACGGCGGCGGTTCTGATGCGTGGGAGAGTGGCTTTCGAGGATCGGGATGGCGTTGTTGGCAGTCAGAAAGGGGTGGTGGTCATGACGCAGGTCCAAGCATGTTCCGTATGTACGGCAGACAAGGCCAGGATCCATCCGTCTGGGCCAGGAAGTGTTTCCAAATCCCTGCGCCCCACCGCAAAGTCCGGGCGGCTACCCCAGCCACAGCAGCCACCTGTCTCCCAAAGCCTGCGTGGCGCCAAGGTCCGGCCAAGGTTCAAGACAAATCTAGCGGGCTTGGAGTGCGTTTCTAGTGCCGCCAGATGCGGTCACTGTTGCCCCTCATTGCATATACCCAGTGCAACTGATTCGACGGCGCGCGGCCGTTGAGCTTCTTCGCCCTGCCCCCCCTGTAGCCACCTTACGTATTCGTCAAGGCTATGTAATGTCTGGTGACTGGGAACTTCGTCGTTCATTCCTTAGTACCTACCTCTGCTTGTTTCCCAGGCCTTCCGCATAAACACCCGCCGTATCCGACGTCGCCATCGCTGCGCGACTCCTCCCCTACTCTGGAATAAATTGAGTTGAGCTTCGGGGATTGTTGCTTGCTGTACCTACGTCTTGTGGCAGCATCCTGTCGTCGTGCAGGCTGGCTAAAATCGGCTACAACCCATTGCGCGCAACCGCCTTCACCCCACCTCCACCTTTAGCTATCTCCGGCGCCGACAACTTCTCGCTTGCTAAAGATCTAGAACAAGAGCTTGACAAGTTTCCCCAGATCACCAGAATATTGATTTCTTTATAAATTATCTTCAAGCCACACAAACTAAAGAATGGGACTCCACAATCCTCTCCCGTCGTCTATGGCGTGTAAGTGGTTCCGCGACATTCAGAGACAGCGATCGCTGCTCAAAGAGCACCCCCATACCTAAGCTCGTCTCTCTCGTCCCAGGCGCTGACAATTACCTTCTCTCATATAGCGGAGTGTAAAAAGTGCGGAAGTATCCTCTCGTCCTTTATCAATCCCCGCCAAGCCTTCGGCCCCGACAAAGTAATTCCCCCGTCCATCCTCGCCAACGCAAAGGGTCTTGCCGTCATCACCGTCCTCAAAGCTGGGTTCCTAGGCTCAGGTCGATTCGGTAGCGGTCTCGTTGTCGCCCGACTCCCCGATGGAACCTGGAGCGCACCGAGCGCCATTGCCACCGTTGGTGGCGGTTTCGGTGGCCAGATCGGCTTCGAGCTCACCGACTTCGTCTTCATCCTCAACGACAGCTCTGCCGTAAGAACGTTTGCCCAGGCTGGCTCTATCACGCTCGGCGGCAACGTGTCTCTGGCTGCCGGGCCCGTCGGGAGAAACGCCGAGGCGGCGGGCGCTGCATCGCTGAAGGGCGTTGCGGGTATTTTCAGCTACTCCAAGACCAAGGGCTTGTTCGCCGGTGTCTCGCTCGAAGGATCCGGAATCATCGAGCGTCGTGACGCCAATGAGAAGCTCTACGGTACTCGCTACACTGCCCAGCAGCTCCTGACCGGCTCGGTGTCTCCTCCACCGCAAGCGCAGCCTCTCATGGCGGTGCTCAACTCTCGCGTCTTCAGCGGCGGCGGCGCAACCGGCAGGACCAGCACCACAGGCGACGCAATGTACAACGATATCCCTGTTTATGACAATGCGCACGACGATGTTGTTTGGGAGGGGCGCCGAGGCAGCGCTTTCGGTGAGGGGGTAAGCCGGTCTAACACTTCAGCCTCCCGTGCCAGCGACCGCTTTGGAGCTCCCCAACGCTCGAGCACATGGCAGGACGACGTCTACGATAGACCGGGCGTGACCTCGCCGTCCCGCTCAAACACCTTCAATGCCCACAACGACAGCGACTACGAGTATCGGGATCGCGTCAGCTCGACTAAGAAGCCCGCACCTGGACGACCGACTGCGCCCAAGCCCCAGTTCGGCGCCAACAAGACAGCGAGCCTGAACAAGAACGAAGCCGTTGCTTTATTCAACTTTGACGCGGATCAGCCTGGCGATCTTGGGTTCAAGAAGGGTGAGGTGATCACTGTGCTGAAAAAGACTGAGAGCGATAACGACTGGTGGTGAGTTTCTGAAAATGAAGTAATGACCTTGCGATCTGAGAATTTACCTAATTTTTGCTTGTACAGGACTGGTATGATTGGCTCGCGGCATGGAATCTTCCCGAGCAATTATGTTAAGATGAAGGAATGAGTTTATCGATATAGAAAATTACTGGTTCCCATGTTCTATCTTTTGTAACCGCATTGTATCCGGTTGATTGATGATGAGTGATGCTGGCTGGCTTGCGACCAGTCTCCCTGCTTGCGTACGGCGTGGAGAAAAGTGTGACAGAGGTGCTGCTTTACGACTATACACGATTTTGGGTGTCTAAGAACGGGGCAATGGCCTGGAGCGAAGAAAAGGGATTGGTGCCTTGGAACGACTCGTCAGGACTACTTTACTTTATTGCTGTTTCTATGATACTCCCGAGTTGCGCGTTCGTTTCGCTTCAGTTATCCGCCCATGGACCGACACAAGGGATCTTTTTCATGACAACTTGATTCCGAACCACGATGCTTAGTAGGTGAGAGAACCTCCGATAAGTAGAAAGGAAGTGAAAGCCTTTGAATAAATGATTTAGTGAGGGGCGACCCTTCGGATTTGCTTTGTCTCGGTGCCAAGATTCAACAAGCCTGGAATTCGCCGTGTGATAGTTTGGCCATTTCAGAGTGCCAAAACCCTTTACGGATTTCCATTACCTGATCTAGGTAATATTGTGCGAGGGCAGCGTCATTCTTTCCTCCTTTGAGATCTGCCTCAAATTGATCAAATAGATTGGATGTCATCTCATTAACTTGCCGAAGCATTTCGTCTGTTACTAGAATAGTGAGTTCATTATTTGCAACCGAACAATTGGATTGGGCTGTAGGCTGCCATTCGGGAGGTGCCGACTCTTGCTCTTGTAGCACAGTTTCAGAGGCCAGATGCGTCTCCGGAACTGGAAGTTCGGAACTGACTTCTTGTTCAGCCTCCAAGGCCATATATTCTGGTGGAGAGTCCTTTGCGGAACTGTCTTTCGAAGAGCGGGCCTTCTCGGCCAACCTTGATGACTTTCGCTGTGGCTGCGAGTCTACAATATCTGGTCTATCATTACTGGAACAGAGAGAACGCGCTTTTAATGGTGCATTGTCGTCGCCTTTCTCCTTTAGACTAGTTGCTTGTGTCTTTGAAGGAAATTCGGGGTTTGTACCCTTTGGGCTTGCTACTTCGCTCGGTAAGCTGTCGCCGGGAGTGTCGGGCAGTTGACCTTTGGTACTTGCTCTGCTACGTGGCTTTGCCTTACTTTCTGGTTTCCGTTTAGATTTGTTAGCAGAGTTCAGGTGGGTAGCATCCTTTTTGGGCTCTGCGGAGATCTTGTTGTTGATCTTGGCACTTGGTGATAGAGGGGAAGCTTTTTGTATCTTTCCCTTTGAGGAAAGGCGTTGACGACTTGATATAGATGTTATCGCCGCGGGACTGGTCTTGATAGTGGTATGATCCTGAGAAGAACCCGTGGCGGTGATCATCGGAAGGTTCCTCCCCTTTGCTGGTTTCTTTGGTGACCCTGAGGATGTGTGCTTCATCGGCTCAGCAGCTTTGGGTTTGCGCTTACGTTTACCCTGCACCTTGGGAGAGTTGGAATTTGATGGCTTTTCTTTGGTAATCGAATTTTGATCATCGATGAGAAGTTTTGGTCCTTCCTTTTGCGAATGGTCAAATGGAAGGTTTCGAGTTGGCGGCATGAGTTCTCGAAAATGGTGTAGATTGGGTGACGAAAGCTCCGTGCTACTATCAGACATTTGCCGGTAAACAGAGATGGGAGATGGCGGGAACTTGCGAGGTAGGACTGGAGACTGAGATGAGATAGCAAGCCTGTCATTAGAGTATAAATCGTGCTGTGGTGAGAAATTTCTAGCGTCAGAGGGGGCTATTGGAGTGGGACTTGGAGGCAGTTCAACGGGGTTTTGAGACGAAGGTGGTGGAATAAGTCGTAGCGGATCATTAGGAGACAAGGTATTGCGAAGTGGTGAGCTGACTTTCGGTCTGTAATCATTGAATGCCTGCTTGCCTAGAAAGACATTGTAAGGGTTAAGTTGACTCATGTATGGACTTTGGTGCAGGTGAGATGTGCTGGAAAAGTTTGATGGACATGAATTTTGCCGAGTCTGAAGTAGTTGATTCGGTATTGACAAATAACCATTTGAAAGAACCTCTGCTTGGGTATCAGAGGTCATAGATCCCACATGGGTTTCCCAAGGCAACTCTGGTTGAGAGGCCGGACTTGCGCCGCTCATCATCCCTGGGAATGTTGTGAAAGAGGAGAGTCGAGGTCCGAAATCAGCTGGACTCTCGAAGGAAAGAGTGGAGGTTTGAGAACAATCGTAGCCAACCCCCGTTGTTTCCAGAGCGGCCTCTTTAATGGAGAAGCCGTATTCCTGAAGCATATAAACCGCAAGATTGAATTCGCGTCTGTGCTCAAATGTAGTGACAACGGCATGGTCTTGTTCTTGGACGTCTACACGAAGCTGCTGAGTATCTACTTTGGTGCTTATAGCCTGCGAGAATGGAGGCTTTGTAGGCAGTAAATCACTGAGACGAATAGATAGCTGAGAGAAAATGGTGAATTTATTTGCCCGATTGACTTTTGCGATCGGAGGCTACCTACTATGCATCGCGAACCAGAATTAACCAGTAGGCAAAGAACTGGCTTTTCCCCGGGAGAAGCATGTTGGCCCTCAAGGGTTAGTGTTAATGCGTTGGCCAGCTGGGTCGAATTGTAGACCCTGGACGAGTGCCCGCCAATGATTTCAAGCTCTTTGAGAGCGCAGGCAGTGACGGGGCTCAGAGGACTTGGCATGGCGGGCAGCTTGCCAAACAGCCTATGGCAAGAAAATAAGATAGCTGTCAATATTGGGTCCTGAGTGACGATGTAGTTCTGGGGGATGATTACCTGGTGGATGAAGCTCGACGAGATGGGCGGTGGGTCCTTCCTTCTACCAGTGGAAGGAAACCGATTGGCTGAGTCATCCGCGCCTTCCTCGCCCTGAGTTAGCACTAAAGTCTAGAACTCACGTGTTAGGAAGGAAGGTTAGCTGCAGGGTTGCTGGAAGGTTTTCGACGCGTGCGCCTACACGTCTGGCTCATTTGTACTATATCCCCAGCTTCAATTCCACCACTTTCCTGTGTCGAATTGATCCTAAAATCCTGGCGGAGCCATAGCGCCTTTCCTCCGATATCCTGCCGCCGCCTCAATTTGCCGATCTGGTCGCTGCTCTGCACGACGAAGAGTGCGTCGCGCCGCCATTGACAATTCTAGCTGAAGAGGCCGCGGTGTCCGCACTACACGGCCTTCATTTGTCGCAAAAGGGTCACGACAACGACCGGTTGTCGCACTGTAAAAAGAAAAGATGGAACCGGCAGACCAAGAGGTTCCCTTGCATACCATCGACCGAACGCCCGAGTATGAAGAGTTTATGAACCGATTGCGAGAATACCATGCGAAGCGCGGCACGACTCTTGACCCCGAGCCCAAGGTAGGGACGATGCACCTAGACTTGTTAAAAGTCTTCAATCACATCGTCGCTAGTGGAGGATACGACAAGGTTTCGGAAGAGAAGCTGGCCTGGAGGCGCATGGCGTCTGAACTCGGCATCGTTTCGACAAATGAGGCTTCGACGGCCTTCGCACTCAAGGAGAAGTTCTATAAAAACTTGGCTGCATACGAGATAAGCACTATTCATAACAAGGAGCCGCCGCCAAAGGATATTTTAGAAGACGTTACAGCCAAGGGCGCCGGTCTCTTATCCCGAACGAGGGAGAATTTTCGAGGCAAGCGGGAAAGCAACGTTGGGGCGGGCGACTCAAACGCATCGGGAGACGACGGTACACCAGTACGTGAGCGCCCTCCCGTGGATCCTGCTGCCAGTGCGCGAGCCTCGCGAGGGTTGCGCGAAGCCCCGCCACAGCGAGTCATCTTTCAGCCTGACACGGGCCCTTCGCGCACAAGAGCTGCTTCAGCCCAACATAACATGAACAACAGCAATCCAGCAACCCCTCAGCACGGTGCATCACAAAACCACCAGCACTCCGGCATGGCGCCTGTTTCACAGCACCCCCACGGGGGTCGGGGACCATCGCTGATGCACCATCCTCCCAATACCGAAAATACATCACAAATGGTGTTGTCGTACCAACCCAGACACGTTAAACCGCTGCAATTACGCGGCGTCGCGACGCCTAGTAATGCTCCGAATGAATTTCAGAAGCCTCGCCGCCCTGGCCAGCGTCAAGTTCCTGACCCAAGGCAGGCAATGCTCCCCGGCACTGGTTTTGATGGTCCAAATATTTACACTCGATGCCTGAATGCTCTACGTTCGGATATTCACGCCGAACAGTCTTTCGCCTTAAATCATTTGGTCAAGATATCTTTCGAGCGTGGTGACAAGTACAAGTTCGACTCGTTTCCTGGACTCGCTGAAGGCTTGATCGAGAAGGCCTTGGAGGTCGGTTCCTTCTTTTACTACGTGAAATGGACCATTTCCTGGGACTCTCATATCGACTCCACCGAGCCGGGCGTTTTGGATGGAAATAATGGCACTCAGGACATTCTCGAGAGAATCGACAATCTCATCGAAAAGGATGTCCCCGATGTTCTACAGACGGAGAAATTTTCCGATGACCTGGTTTTGATCAACGAGGCTGTTCTGACGATCCGGAACATGGTCAATCTCCCGGAAAATGCTTACCATATGAGCGACTTCTACCCTTTGCACGACTTGATCTGCATTCTCATGCGTCTACCTCAGCACGACTCACTCACAGAGATGAAGCATCTGGCACTTGACATTGCTGAGCAATTGACACCTTTCATGACCGTTAGTTCGGAGGACCCTCTATACAAGATCCTTTTGGCACAGATGACTTCAGATGACCGTGGTGTGATCCTTACGGCACTTCGAGCACTTGGCCGAATTTCGATGAATCTGGAGGCTACGAACAAGCTTCAAAATGTACCGCAAGATGTTTTGCAACGCATTGCACACTGGCTATTACTAAACGACGACGAGCTGATGGACGCATGTCTTGATTTTCTGTATCAGTACACCGCAGTCGTTCCCAATGTGGACAACCTCATTCGATCAATGCCCGTTCAAAACTTGGTGGAGCATCTG